CATCCCCAACTGTTCTTATGGGAAATAACGAGCAAGAAACTCCATGTTTACTCTTTTTCAATAAATTTAACAATTCGTTTCTTCCTTACATCATTTAGTCAGTTCTAATTTCTATACAAAAACACAATAAACATACCTGCAGTTTCGCGAGCTTCACATTGAAGTATCAATATTATAAAGTATACCAATATCTTTACGCAGTTAATAATTTTATACTTCATTCTGGCATAAAACGTCAACAAGTAATGGTATACTGTTTAAAAGTGCTGAAATGTAAACACCATAATTTACAAATAAATTTACAGGACAAATTGATGAAAAATTATTATTTATTACATTGCGTCTATCCTGGTGAGTTTGTCGTTTATATGTGTATGTCTTTGTGATTATTGTTTTAGTTTTTTATCTTTATAAGCTACTAGCGGCTCGCCCCCGCTGCGCACGGGTCCAACTATCTCGCTAATCTTCCCCTGTACTTTTATAATATTTTCCTTTATAAAAAGTTCTCCTGACACAACAAAAAAAAAATTAGCAAAATTGGTCCAGGCGTTATTAAGTTATGCGCTTACCAACACATTTTGTGATCCATTTTTATATATAAAGATTTATAGTATTAAGTGTGGAGTCAACAAATCTCTAAACAATATAACAAATTAGATAAAAATAAGTGTAATTATGCTCCCTGTTTATAATATTAGTAAAGACTAGGCCATATCATAGAGCGGCTCATTGTTCTATCCTTATCCTTACTAATATTATAAATGCGAAAGTAACTCTGTCTGTCTGTCTTTCTGTCTGTCTGTCTGTCTGTCTGTCTGTCTTTTCTTCACGCCTAAACTACTGAGCCGATTTCTGTGAAATTTGGTACAGACATAGTTTGGAACTCGAGAAAGGACATAGGATAGTTTTTATTCCAAAAATCTGCAGGAAGTAACTTTTCCACGTGAACAAAGTCGCGGGCAAATAATTGTTATAGTCTATATTCAAACTTTGGTGAAAAAACTTTGGTTATTTTGAAGAAACAGTCCTGTTTTTAATATTTCTCATTGTCACACTAGTGTTATCAAAGCATTATTCATTTAAAATGAACACTTTGATTTATCCTTATACTGAGTAGTCATTTACTGTACCTATAATATAATTCCTAAAATCATAGTAACGTAATCGACAGTGGACTATTCAGCTTCGGTACGGCTGAGCCAACTGAGATTTAGAGAAAACCGGCGGCATAAAAATGCATGAGCTTTATTTTGTCTTCTGAGTGAGGTTACCAGAGCCCCAATCCTTGCCTTCGTGTCCAAATTTCCAAATAGCCATTACCATTTAAGTGTGAGAGAGCCATGCTTCGGCACGAATGGGTCGGCTCGACCAGAGTGATACCACGGCCTCACAGAAAACCGGCGTGAAATAACCACAGCGTTGTGTTTCGCCGTGTGAGTGAGGTCTCCCCCTCTCTCCCCCAATCCCTCTTAAATTTCCAAATTCCTAATCCCTAAAAGGTCGGCAACGCACTCGTAACTCCGTTGCGAGTGTCCATGGGCGGAGCTGATTGCTTACCATCAGGTAATCCGTCTGCTCGTTTGCCGACCTATTAAATAAAATAAAAAAAATACTTGTCAGCCTACGAGGGCTCATGTAACTTTTTTCGACTTATACGAACTTTCTATGATTATTTTTTCTATGATTAGACTCCACTGACATATGGCGAAAGAAAAAATAGTGAGGAATTCTGGACTGATTTTAATTATAATTTTGAAATCGATAATTCTGCACATCATCACACATGTTTCTGCACATCGGTTGCAATTGAAGTGGTTGCCCATACGCCAGCGCAGGGAGCAAAGGGCGCTAACCACTCTGTTCTCTTTCCTCAACTCACCTTGTTCGCCTAGCTATCTATCCTCTTACTTTCAATACTTGTGCGCAAACCACAGCAAAAATCTTCGTTCTTCCCATAACCGTCTTCTCCAATGTCCCACTCACCGCACTGATTTCCTCCACTCCTCCTTTTTTGTCCAGTCTGTCTTGCTGTGGAATGCGCTCCCCCCGGATGTCAGGATGGTGTCTAGTCGCTTGACTTTTAAACAAAAGGTTCGTGAGCTTTTATTGAAAGGTTTGGCTAAATCGTGACCACCATACATTATTATTAATAATTATTAGTATATGTATGTATATAGTATATGTATGTATGTAGTATACTTATGTATGTATATAGTATATATATGTAGCAGTTATTTATTATTATATAATATAATTTGAGTATGAATGTAGGTATATATTAGGGATATAGTAACTTGTACGTTAATAATACGCACATATATCTATCTCGTATGTCTTATCAGATTTAAAGTTAAGCCGTTTGCTTGCTTCTTGCACCGACCATTGGCTCATCTCTGCATCACCCAAGGTTTGACTGGTAGAAAATGCCTTAGGCATTAAGTCCGCCTATGTACCCATTGTGCATGAAGTTTAAATAAATAAATAAATTCGAATTGAGCAAGCGTCGCGAGTAATGCTCAAATATTCATTGTGTGGGAAAAGGCCTTAGCTCAGCAGTGAACACTTGTAGGATGATGATGAGACATCCTTCGGAAGAGTGGAAAGGTTCCTGCGTGTGTATGATTACTAGTGCTATTAGGTAGCTTTGTTAATATTTGTGTGTATTGCAATTTATAGAAATAATACACTTACATACGCAAAAGATATAAATAAAATAAATTTTACCTGTTTGTGACACAATTTGACCGAGTAACCACGCCATTTCTGACTGCAATTTGAAACAGAATAAGATTACAATAAATATTAAAACGCATTTAATTGTTCATCGAACTGTTTATAACAATGTATTCATCTATTCTAGCGATTAAAATTACGACTGATGGAACTAAATCAAAGGTTTAGTATCTTCGTTGATGATGTTTGAGCTGGACTAGGAGCAGCAGGAGCCTGCTTGCTTAAAAATCACCAACTCAACTAGTGATTCATCAGTTATTGACGTCATTAAGTGGTTGGCTCGACCGGAGTGATACCACGGCCTCACAGAAAACCGGCGAACAACTCCTTTGATGTTTGGGTGTCCATGGGCGGCACTGATTATTACCATCAGGTATTATTATGTTTTTAAACGAAAAGAGCTTCATCCTCTCCTCTAAAAACTAACTTGCTGTGCCCGACAGGGTCCATAATTGTTTCTCTATAATTTACCTACCAGCCTTGTATACATTATGGAATGCAATAAAGTATTGAGTATTGAGTGATCCGTATGCTCGTTTGTCGACCTATACCATAAAAAAATAGCAAGTTAACTCTTCGTCAAATCATCAGAAATTTATCGAGAGTCACGAGGATCGTACCTGCTAGAATCACGAACTAATCACAGTTACCTATACCGAATACTCAATTTTCGAAAGTGTGGCAGAGCAATGCTTTGGCTCGAATGGGTCGACCGAAGCGATAACACTGTCTCGCAGAGAGCCGGTGTTAATCATGTTGTGTTCAGTGACATTACTTGAGGCACAATCCAGCATTAGCTGGAAAATGCAAATGCTGGAACGCACTTGTATAACTCCACCGATTAGCGACGCAGATTGCTTGCCATCACGCGATCCATCTGCTCGATTGCCACCTTACGTCACAACACACAAAAATATTTCTGCTCCTTAACGGTTCTGATTATAACAATGGAGGCGAACCGCTTCGTGTGTTTGCGTATATTTATTAAACAAGTGTTGGAGAGCCAAGCTTCGGAATGAGTGGGTCGGCTAGATCGGAATGATGTCACGGCCTCACAGAAAACCGTTGTATTTCGTCGTGTGAGCGATTTTACCTTAGGGCCAATCCCTCCCCCTCCCCCTAACCCTTCCCAATCCTTAAATATCTGAAAACCTTATACCAAAAGGCCGGCAACGCACTCCTTACTCACTGTAAGGCGGGTGTCCATGTGCGGCGCCGATTGCTTACCATCAGGTAATCCAAGGGCTCGTTTGCCTTCCTATCCCATAAAAAAAAATTAAACCTTGAAGCAACTTACGTCGTGTTTGCGTTTCGCAGCGTGAGTTATGTTATTGGAGGCCCAATTATTTGCCCTGCCCCGCCCACACCAAATCCCTTATCCTTAAATCTCTAGGAACTTACAAGAGGTCGGCCAGGCACTTGTAGTAACTCATTTGATACTACAAGTGTCCATGTGCAAGGGTTATTGCTTACCATCAGGTAATCCTTGTGCTTGCTTGCCGACGTACTTTGCCCCTCAAAAGACAAAGGGTATGGTAACAGTGCGTAAACTACTAAATTTGTAGTGGACGTAGCGCCGTAGCGCTCTAAGGCTTGTTGCATTGTCCAAAACAAATTCTTTTGTAACGCCATGTTCTTTTCTTCGCGTCAAGTTCGCGTCAAATAGCACAAATAATAAATTTTTAGAAAAATAAGAATTAAGGCGTATTGTACCCTCAATAACCTTGACCATACTAATGCACGACTGGCGCGGGCTGCGTTTGCCCGCTTTTTACATCATCATCATCATCAGTCTATAAGTGCCCACTGCTGAGCAAAGGCCTCTTTTCATACGGAGAAGGTTAGAGCATTAATCACCACGCTTGCTCAATGCGGGTTGGCGATTTCAAACTTATAATTAGAAATTATAAGTCCAGTTTTCCTCGCGATGTTTACCTTCACCGTATGTCAGTGGTGTCTAAATAATCATAGAAAGTGCATATAACTAGGAAAAAGTCGCATTGGTACTTGCCAGGTTTCGAACCCACACCCTCATGCATGAGAAGCGGGCTCCTTAACCTCCGGGCCACCACGACACTACGCTTTTTACACATACATGAAAATCCCAATAATATAACATGTTCTATGTAAAATATTGACTGATTTACATGAGTGCTGTGCTTTGTAGTAAAATTAAACACGGATTGATCTAATAAAATAAAAAAAAATAAACTAAGCCATTTAGAAAGAATAAGCATTTATTTGAACAAAATAGCGTGTTGATAAATATTTTTTACAGCTTAACTATTTGTGTCATAAGAAAATCAATTTTTTTCACATTGTAGTACATGAATCTACAGTAAACATATATATTTTTTTAATCTTTACACCCAACCGTTGATGAGGAATAGGCTTTAGAATGGAACGTTTTTACGGCTCAAAAAGCGCGGAGGCCCTTAACAAGTTGTGGGGGAAATTCATCAAATTACTTCTCTCGCCGAGGATATCGCGAGAGGGAAAGCTAGACGCTCACTGACTAGCAACCCCCGTTCCTTTTCCTTAGACAAGAACAATAATACAATGATTAGGCCGAGGCCGCGGTGCGGTACCTTATTCTCCAACCCAAGCTGAATCAAATATTACAACAATTCGGTACAAAGGCACATCTTAAGTATTTCTTCGAAATATCTTCTGAGATGTAGACAGAATTAGGAAAAAATAAAAGTAATAAGAATTAATAAACTAAAATATTGCATTGTATATTAATGTTTTCTTCTTGAATGATCATAAGGTACATTGTAAATTATAGTCGAGCGTTGTTGACCTTCAGGTAACTTCGGCTTGCATTGTAAATAATTTACTTTCGCATAGCTATGGTAGCAAGATTCAGAAAAGTCTGAACATTTCAAAATATCATTATTTGGTTGCATAGTTGAGAAATTTTCGCTGAAACATGAGTCGTACATCGATTCGGGTAATGGCGTCTCTTGATTTTCTTCTCGAAGACCGTTGTAAGGGGTCTGTAAAAAAAAATATGTTTATTCATCTAGGCTAGAAGACCACAGACGAAGCCTTCTGCCGGTGACTAGAGTCGAGTCGTCTTGGCCCTTTTCAAAGCCGAAGTTGAAATGGGGAGGTGTGATTTGTTCATCCGTTAAAGCAATATCTGAGCAGGAAGATTTAAATTATTGTTTTGTTTGTTATTTCCTATTTCTCTTTTTCCTGTTGTTTTAGTTTGTCACACAGTGTCTTATGTCTCTTACATTTTTCCTTTCGAAGGACTGCAGGAAGAGATTCCATATAGGAATATGCAGTTCCTATGTACTTCTGTCTCTGTATTTGTTCTCTATTTACTGTATGTGTGATGTGCATAAATAATTAAATAAATAAATAAGATAAATTCGATGATTTTTCGCCTGTAAAAAAACGTTGAATGGTAAAATTTAAAGTGAGCACAGCTACTTGATATATGAATAGGTATGAATATGGATAGTCTGTCGCTTCTTCAGTAAGTTCACTAACTGATAGTAATTGTAACACAACATATGGGTTCAAACTGGTTAAAGGTTCTGGTACTGGCTTCAAAGAGCTTCATGAAAACTATTTAATTTTGTGTGGCAGTAGCTACTGTCTCTGTAATGTGCCAATCTTACTTATCTACATATCAAATAGCTTTGCAGACTGTATTACACTGTTGGTTAAGCAAAAGCTAATGTGATTCGAAAAAATTTAATACTTTGGATGATATTTAAACGCCTTGGTAATGTTTTTATTATAACTTTCGTGAGACATTCTAAATTATTTATTATGTTTTCGGCTTACTCACGCAATAATTTGACGAGATACTCGGCTAGTTTCAAGCCATGCTAGAGGCCCATATTCATGAGCAGCATTCCGCGACACGCGACTCGGCGACTGTCGCGCTGCTACTGGCTACTCGAGTCTGCGCGCCCAACGCGCCCTCTGCCGCGATTCACGCGCACTTTCTTCTAGCCGTGGTGTCGGCAGCGACGGCGCGCGCCACACTGTTGGCACGCTAGACTGGACTCATGAATATGGGCCTCTAGCATGGCTTGAAACTAGTCGAGTACCTCGTCAAATTATTACGTGAGTAAGCCGAAAACATAATAAATAGTCTTGGTAATGGTTAGTTAAGGCTTTCCAAGCATGAGGGTGCGTGTTCGAAATCTGACATGTACCAAATTGATTTCAAACTTATAGTTGTTCATCATAAGTTTGAAATTCACCTTGACCAAGCGTAGTGATCCTGTTAGAAGAAGCCTTTGCTCAGCTGTGAGCCGTTATAGGCTGATGATGTGTGTGACCTTAGGGAGGAATTTGAAATCGTTCCTGATTTATGGAAAAGACTCTTGCCTATTAGATTACTAGCTCTTACCCGCGGCGTCGCTCCCGTCATTTGATTACCTACCCTACTCACCTACCATACCCAACTCTGCCTACCCTACTCTACCTACCCTACCTATCTACCCTACGCTACCTACCCTACTCTACCTACCCTAAACTCTACCTACCCTACTCTACCTACCCTACTCTACCTACCCTGCTTTACCTACCCTGCTCTACCTAACCTACACTACCTACTCTACCTACTCTACCTAGCCTACCATACCAACTCTATACTCTATCCTATGTCCTTCTCCTGGCTCTAAACTACCTCCCTGCCAATTTTCAGCTAAATCGGTTCAGCCTTTCTTGAGTTATAAGTAGAGTAAGTAACACGACTTTCTTTTATATATATAGATTGCCTTATAGATGACGGATGAAAATTTGGTGATAATTTATGCATACATAAGTGCACATATTTATTTGCACCTTTGTCTACCCTTAATAAAAAACCTGCAAAAGAAAGACAACATACCTCAGCGTCGTTTGGTCTTCGCAGTCTTTTAAACCAATATGATAAGCCGACGCTAGCGATTAGTAATACAGGGCCAACAATGCATCCGATAATAGCCGCTAGGCTTTTAGAAGTACCTGAAAAAAAATTAAACTTATTTATTTATTTAATAATTTTTGTACACACAGTAAGTTGGACAAGAAAAATAATACAACAATTAGGTACAAAGGCACAGCTTATTTCTTCAGAAATCTCTTCCAGCAGGCCCGTTATGGGAAAGTTAGAATAAAAAGTTTGTAGACTGACTGTGTAAACACAATTAGGAAAAAGGAAAACAATAAGATTTAATAAACTAACTATTAAACAGCAAAAATATATAAATACATAACATATAAACTTATAAACTTATGTATATTCTTTTATATGATTTTGGTAGGGCAGCTCGAAATAGTCTAAAAATATTGGCCTCGAGGCTATTTTCTATTTATGACTGTTTGGCTAACTTACAATGTTCCTACACAATGGAACCGCCTTAATGATGTGCCGAAACATTTAATTGTGGCACTGGTTTAAAAAGAGTAACCATGGAGTTTTTTGTTCGTTCTTCTGCATGAGAATTTAAACTTTAGAGGCCTGATCTGACCTGGCAGAACTGACAGTTTTTATATTCATTTAATTTGTTTGACTAAATCTATACTAATATTATAAAGAGGTAAAATTTGTAAGTTTGTATGTAGGGTGTTATCTTTGGAACCGCTGCATACAAATTTACAAACTCACAAATTTAATTATTTAATTTAAAATTAAATGAATATAAAAACTGTAAACACTTACTCACGTGCATTTCAGTTGGGAGGGGGGGGGGGGGGTGGTACAGACAAGTTTAAGTATCGTTTTATCCTGTTATTTTTAATATAAATAGTAGCATTATTACCCTAATTTAAAAACAATTATGTACTTATGATTATTTAACAATGTATAATATCTTTTTACCAATTTTCGCAATTTCGCAACGCACACGCTTCTCATGACTAAGAATCCCGTTGTGACTTGAAACTAGTAGAACTTTTCTCAGTTCATTCACGTGAATAAGTCGTTATTATTTTTTATAAATTCAGTATGACTTACAATAGTTACTATGACAAAAGTGTTCTAAATTTTAATTGCATCATATTTTTTGGGAATTAGTTTCAAGTGTTACATGTCTTTAAAGTGCTATTATGAGTTCTTTTCTGCTTAGCACTGCCCCGTCTACTGCGGCCTTGCCTAGTCAAAAAGCGCCATTACGGTTTTTGTTCCGTTTTCGAAAATTTCATAGCAATATCATGAAGCCTGTCGTCATCATCATTGTAATAATCATCATCATCATCATTTTGAAATGGAAAAAGCTGAGACTGTACTACATGGGCGATGCGGTTCCTAATATCTAAATCTTCTCTCAGATGTAGTATATAAAAGAAAGAAGGCTTTTAAGGCGAGGTTCCACCTCAGGTCATCTCCAGTCATCATCAGCTCATGACACCACTGGACTTATAGGCCTCCTCTACATTTAACGGTTATCCAGAACCTTGCACTCTTAGTAAGTTTATACACCATAGTTTTAAAATGTTTCTCCTTCAGAGAGTTTAGATTGTCCGGTTTTAGCCATATGTTAGATCGTTCGGCTTTTTCTACACCAATGGGAATAGCAGTCATGGTGAGATAGAAAAAATGTGTACTTTTTATCTTCTAAATAACAAAAAAAAAAACTTACCATCCTTTTTATATTTCGTTATAAAGTAGACCCTGTATATGTATTTGTCATCTGGTTCCACCGAAATATACTCGCAGTCCAGATAAGAATTATTAAGGCCCATGTGTAAGTTTATTATGACCGATGCAGAATCAAATACAGCCTGCGATGTGGCACCTAAAATTAACACTAGGATCGGTTCTTATGAAGTCAGTCTTAACAAGAGTTAAATTAATATTAGTGAAGAGCCAAAGTGCATGGAAATTTTAACTCGATGCAGTGTAAGGGATGGTGTGGGTTTTAGTCAGTAAGAGTCTGTTTGATGATTTTTCTTTCTTAAAATAATATCCCCTATGTATCCACTCTAGAGCAGCAATACACTTGTAACTCCTCCGGTGTTGCAGATATTTATGAGCGGCGCCGATTGCTTACCATATAGTGATCCTTCTGCTGTTTTTACGTAGGAGATGAAAGATAATTTATTTATCACTTAGGGTGCACTAGTATACATTGATCCTAATCTACTATTCATTGGTGCATTTGATTAGGTGTGAAAGAGCCAAGTTTTCGTGCCCTTCTTCCCAAGGTCTTACTGAAAAGTTCATACACAATCCCTAAATTTTCAACATTAAAACTCATAGCCATCAAAGGTCAGAAATTTACTCGAAATTTCTCGAGTACTGCGGGTATCCTCGGACGGCGCTGATTATTTATCACTACGATGGTAGGATAGGATTGAATAGGATAGTAGAACAGAATGGAATGATATGGGATATAATGGATAAGTGGGATAGGATACTATGGGATATAATATAATGGAATACAATAGAATGGGTAAGGAAAGTAGTATAAGAGTGAATAATTGCAATGAATAAAATAAAATTGGATCAAGCTTTACCCGCTTTTGCAGAAATAAGTTGGACTTTCCCTTTTTTCTCCATATTCAAACAAATCGCATGAATATTTTCGTGTTCTTCAAATATGTAGTTTGCGAAGCCGTCGTGGTAACTCGATGTATTGTTGTAAGAAAACTCAATATGTCGATTATTTATGATCATCCGAACTCTTTCTGAAACCAAAATCAATGTGATTATTTAATTTTTTTTGTCAAAAAAATCGTTGTTCTAGGTGTAGTGGTGGGATTTGTATACCACCACAGACAGGGCTCTTTAGGGCTGACGTTCAGCCGCTGGTGTTGCGGGGCAAGCGCAATAAGTCAACGCGGCCTCGGCCTAGAGCAGGAGAAGAAACGGGACAGTTTTTAGTCAGTAAGAGTCTGACACTCCCTCTGGAGGCCCAATACTTCCCCCATCCTCAAGTTTTTTCCTTAAATACCTTACAGACCATAAAAGTCCAGCACCGCACTTGTAATACATTACACACATTGTCACACATCCTGGCGATGGTATTATACTACTACGTGTGTCCATGGGCGGCGCCGATTGCTTACTGCTTCATCTAGTTTTTCACGTGACGTGTAAAAGTGCCGTTTTATGGCCTATTTGCAAAAATAAATTCATTGTTTCATTGTTTCATTTCTACCTAGTAGGCCGTCTGCTCGTTAGCCGCTCGGCATAAACGTCATCTATACTTATAATAAGTCTGTAGAGAGGTCAATTCTGTACATTACATATATTTTCAAAATAACTATCAGGAGGTAATAAGTGATCGATACTGATCCAAACAATGCAATCACTAAAATTTTTGTCTGTCTGTCTGTCTGTATGTTCCCTATATAAACAAAAACTACTCAACAGATTTTAATAACACTTGGTACAATTATTCTTTATACTCCTGGGCAGGTTATAGGATACTTTTCATCACGTTAAAAATAATAGGAGCAGTGCAGTAAAGGAAATGTTGGGAAAACGGGAGAAGTTACTCCTTTTGTAAGTTTTCGTCGCGTGTGTAACCTTAATGGTTAAAGTCACATTGAAATTATGTATGACGGAAATATTCTACATAAAATATATAAGTATCGACGAAGACCTCCAAACTCAGCGTTGTATTGATTTTATGTTTAATTGACACTAGCTTCCACCCGCGGCTTCGTCCACGTGGTATATTGATAAAAAGTAGCATATGTCTGTATTCTATGCTTGTGCTAAGTTTCATCCAGATCCGTCCAGCCGTTTTGACGTGATTGAGTAACAAACATCTAAACATCACAACTTTCGCAATTATAATATTAGTAAGATTAAGAATAAAGTTTAAAATATAACAACTCACTTGCAGCTCTCACATGTATATTCAGTGTAAAATGATAAATTTTCTGTTTACGCTTAAGGGTAATTCTTCCCATAGCAGTATGGTCTACGGCTATAGTACATTCCCATAAAGTGCTCATATATTTCGTCACTTTTTCAAACTGAAAAAAAAAAAACTTTAAACGTCAGGTTACAATAAAAGCGGTGTCGACATAATTACAAAGTTTAAGTCCAATTTTTTACGTAAAAAATTCACATTATCTCCGCGTATCGCAAAAATTGCTTTGGTCCATAAATTACGTGAGATAATTAAGGGCGTAAGGGGTTTCGACAAATATCAATAAATTATTTTTCTGATTGAAATAAAAAGTCATTGTCAGACGTTGCCAAAGTGCAGGTATTATATTATGTTAGGTAAATGTAACGTGTGACTACGCCTTTCAGTATTCTGAAATTCTTGTTTTATACTTTTTCAGCGCCGTTTTTTGTCGTAGTTTTTATACATTTTATTATTTGTACTATTTTGGTGTTAAAGTGTATTTGTGGCGCTTTATATTAACAAAAGTTAAATTGATGAACTAATGATAAGTAGTAAAGAAGCTATAAATGAAAAGATGTGAATTATATGCAATCATGTCGTGGTGGTCCGGAGGTTAACTAGCCCGCTTCTCATGTGAGTGCATGAGGGTGTGTGTTCGAAACCTGGCAAGTACCAATGTGACTTTTTCCGAGTTATATGTGCTGTACTTTCTATGATTATTTAGACACCACTGACATACGGTGAAGGTGAACATCGTGAAGAAACCTGGTCTTATAGAAAATTTAAAACTCACAACTCACGTAATTTTTGGACGCCCCCTTCGGATTTGACCCAAATCGTGAAACAAAGAACATTTTCCGACTACAAAAGAATGAGATCCCACTTTTTTCACATAATTTATTTACGTTTATTATTTATGTCCTCAAATGCAAGGTGGCTAAAAATAGTGTGTAAATAATACTTATAAGCGGTACAAATCAGATACTAAATTTCTCAACTATTTTTATAGATATTAAATTGGATATTTACATACCTTCCTCTTCAATCACTCTTATGTATTAAAAAACAACACCAAAATCCGCTGCGTAGTTTTAAAGTCCTTTTTTGTCCCACTTTAGTATTTTCTCCTGTGTTGTGGGTGCGTTTACAAACATACAATGTCATATACTCATGACAACCAGACCCGAAACAACAATTTATGCATCTCACAAAGTGTTGTTCCGTGCAGGAATCGAACCCGCGACACGTTGCACGGCAGCCAGTTGCCCAGCCACCGAGTTTATACGTTTATATAGGGACAGAAAACGCGAGGTGTATGTAGTGTTTTTACTTACGTGTATACAAGAAGAATTCACAGTAGCCGGCATTGTTGTGTCTAAAATAGGATCATGGCCATAATAATTGTAACACCTGCAAAATGTGACACGATTTAGTACATTTTATAATGAGCGTTTTTTTAGAGTCATCTTGTTGTTTTTTTTTTGCCCAGGGCGGGCGAGAGCAAGTGTGAGACTTACTGAATAAAATCTACCCCATCAAGGGCTGATTTTTCAATAGACAGATAAATGTTATCTGAGGAATAAAATTGTTGCTGTCACTGTCTTATACAAACATTTTATCGCAACAGCATCATAATTATTCCCCAGATAACTTTTATCTAACCATTGAAATTTCAACCCTAAATCATTATGTCGCTTACATTAGCAACCCCAGATAAAAAACCTTCAAATCTTTTGTTACCCAGCGCGAGGGATATTTTAGTTAAAATTTTTGTTTGTTCTTATATAACTTAGATTCTCTTGAACTTAGATTGTTTAAGAGCATCTGATATAATAATATGTATGTTTAGTTCAAAGAACATTTTATTGTAAAGAGTTGTCTCATAGCTCGATAGATGGCGTTGCCCGATTTAAATTCAAGCTATGGTTTCGTTACCAGCAATTGTATAAGGCAATTGTCATTTTGATAGACCACATGTCTTTAGTTCATAATATAGTGTTAATATACAAGCAAGCATAGAACAATACACTAAGGCGGTTTTATTTGTGTACCCCATCTAGTGAAACAATAGGTCAATGAACACCTAGCAGCTTAGTTAGTATTATTATTTTGAAATCTATTTAGCTTTTATTTCACTTTTCTGTACATTATTTGTTTAAAATCGATGAATTATTTCGATATCCGCGCATAATAATAAAGTGAATTGCTGGCATTCTCTATAATAATGGGGCACTTAGAATTAAGTTTGAAATGTACAAATTATACAGTATAGTGTACTCATTGTTGAGAAGCATTTTTTTTTATTTGCACTAGTTTAGTGCAAGTGCTTGACTGATCCCACCTGATGGTAAGCAGAGATGCAATCGTTGATGGTAAAGCGCACTAGTTTATTAAGAGCCTATTCACTCTAGCCTTGAAGACACCTAAACTATATTCGGACGGAAAGACTGCAGCCGGCAAACTGTACCTACTGTCTTATACAAATAAAGCATACGATAAATAAATAAATAAATAAAAGGTCAGCCACTTAGTTATAGTTGTATTTCACATGTAGTTCCTCGAAGTCGCTGGTGGATTGCTTTAGTAAACAGTTAGACAGCTAATCTTATGCGAGATTTAAAAAAAATCTTACCATCCATGAGTGACGACAAAATCGGTAAAGTATAAACTTAACGGCTGATTTTCTTCAACTATATATTTGTTACCTGTTTGAATACCATGGAAGCGTATGGCACGATTGTTATCTGTAAAATTAAAACAGAATTCAAAATCGAATAACAATGAAAAGCTAATAAATTATGGCTCCATTTAATCGTAGCGTGATGTTTTATAGCCTATAGCACTCAGTAATATTGTAGCTATCTATCAGTAAAATAATTTTTGGAAATCCGATCAGCGGGTACCTACAAACTTACAAATTTTACCTCTTTATAATAGAAGTATGGATGTAGCTGTCCTTTTCGGCCAGGCGATAAAGCGCTCGCTTGCCTGCGTGACGTGAAACCTGGCTAATACCAATGTGAGTTATTCCGAGTAAATAACTCGGAAAAACTGTACGTAACGTACATGTACTTTCTCAAATTTTGACTGCACGGTTGTCGGGTCTGCGGTCGGCGAGTAAGGGCAGCTCGCCCCTCAAAGAGCCAATAGACCACCACAGACGGGGCCCTATAGGGCTGATGTTCAGCCGGGGTTGCGGGGTAAGCGCAATGAGGCACCGAGACCTCGGCCCAGAGCAGGAGTAGGAACAGGGGGGTTTTTAGTCAGTAAGAATTTAACACTCCCTCCCGCCCGGCCCTGGGCGAGAGAAGTCATTAGATGATTTTCCTCTCACAAAAAAAAAACGGTAGTCGCGGTGTCTGGGCAACTGGCTGCCGCACGAAGTATCGCGGGTTGGACTCGTGCACGGAACAACTCTTTGTGTGATCTACAAATTGTTGTTCCGGCTCTGGGTGTGATGCGTATAGTGTAATTGTAAAAGCTCCCACGACGCTCGAGAAAATCCTAATGTGGGGCACCGCTAACAAAAAGATTATTTAGACACCTATAATTTGAATACGGTAAATAAAACTAACATCAGGATTTTTTTTAGAATGGCGAAATCAATTCCATTCCTTCTCTCACTCTGGTTCTGACGACAGGGAGTGTCTGCTCTGGGCCGGGATAGCACATTATTTTGTGACAGTACCAATGTGATATTTTCCGAGTTATATGTACTTTCTCAGGTTAGACACTGCTGACATACGGGGAAAGAAAGTTAGAAATCGCGGAATAGACATATGTGTATAGTGTGCCTTGAAGAAGCGTGGTGTTAAATGGTCAAAAATCCTGCGTGTGAGAAGAGGCCTTTGCTCAGTAGTGGACACTTATAAACTGATGATGATGATGATAATAGTTTGAAAACTGTCTAACGTTTACAGAAGCATTATCAACGCAAGGTTTTCATAAGGACCGACATAATTATCAGAAATTATTATATAAATTGTATGTACATGATCCATTTTCCTTATAAACACTTTTATGGAGTTAGTATATGTGTATTTATACATATATGGTAAAAACTAGGTACTCTCGTTTTGATTGTAGCGTGATGTTTTATCTATACTAATATTATAAAGTGGTAAAATATGTAAGTTTGTAAGTATGTATGTATGTAGGGGGTAATTTTCGGAACCGCTCTGGTCGGATTGCCAAAATTCTTTCACTGATAGATAGCTTCAATTTTCCTGAGTGCTATAAGGTATAAAACATCACCCTACTATTAAATGGAGCTGAGCAGAGGGTGAAACCGAGCGAGAGTAGCTAGTAGCTTATAACCTTCTTCAATATTAAATGGACAAAAAAAAATACAAAAAAGAATTGATCAGTTCGAAGCAGTAGCTCCGGAGATTAGCGCCTTCAAACAAACAGACTCTGATAATGTTGGTATAGGTTTGGATTTATATTTTAGATTTCACCTGCCGTGTCTAGTTTCTGTACCCCTCATAGGTCTAACCGACCATGACAGAAGCCCAACTGGGCTGATGTTCAGCCGAGTTGCAGCTTAAGCGCAATAATTTACCGCAACCAAGGTCTAGAGTAGGGGAAGGAACGGAGTGGTTTTAAGTCAGACACAATCTGACATTCTCTCCCCCCCCCCTCCCGCAAAGGGCGAGAGAAATCACTTGGTGATTTTCTACATAAAAAAAACTCTAACTGTAAGAGAATGCCTAAGACAAAAGTCATCTATGTGCTGTTGAAATAGCCAATACGCCTTGAGCAAGTGTGGTGGTTAATGCTCAAACCTTCTCCGTGTGAAAAGAGGCCTTTGCTCGGCAGTGGGCACTTATAGCCTGATGACGTATGTACTTTTACGTGCATCAAGTATTTAATTAATAAATAAGATTTTTAGTTACTTACCGGCAATAACGGTTAATCCATTGACGTAAAAAAATATTGATAAAAGTTTGAAACACCAAAGGGTATCCATTTCTTTAGTTAAATACAGTAATATTAACCTCACTTTATGCACTCATCGCATTGTATGAAAAGCTTTACCTCTTATTTGTAATGTAAGTATAATTTCTGCACTTGTAAGGACAATTCCCAAAAGGATTTGTTATGTTAAACAAAAAATAGTTTGATTTACATTCGACTGCGAAGGATACCGCACAAATAATGTTTACAATAACAATATATCTATACTTATAATAAATCTGTAGAGTTCAACTATTCTGTACATTAAATATATTTTCAAAATAACTACCAGGGCATGATAAGTGATCGATACTGATGCCAAAAATGCAATCAGTAAATTTTTTGTCTGTCTTTCTGTCTATATGTTCCTTATAGAAACAAAAACTACACTATGTATACATCGATTTTGTTCTATGGCTGTATGTTCTGTATGTTATGTGTTATGTGTACACAGCACGCGGGCGAAGCCGCTGGCGGAAGCTAATTTATGATATTATAGTAGGATATAGTAGGATTAGCAGGATTATTAGGATAATACTACATCTACCAACTAAACGCCCCGTAATAGAATTACCCACTTATAAAAAATATTAAACAAATGACGACAACGCTAGTCAACTACTAGTAACTAGTAGTGACAACCGATCCGTCGTTTAGTCGAGGCTTACTTGATAGACAGATCCGTAATCTACCCCGGGTACCAGGGCGTGTGGAATGGGTGAGAGATGTCGCGCTGTAAAATCGGGTACGATCGGGTGCAACGCACCGACCTCCCGAGCGGCGTCAGCATAGTTTGCTACGCTGACGACACGCTATTCCTGGCGAACGGGAGGTCGCATCAGGCGGCTACCGACCTGATGTCACAAGCGGTTGCGATAATTGTTGCAAGGATCCGGCAGTTGGGACTCGAGTTGGCGCTACATAAGTCCGAGGCCAGGTATTTTTTGACCGTCACCTAATCGTAACCCCTCCTGCCGTTATTTGAGATTTATTTGAGAGTTACCATCCTCGTCGAGTCGTCGATGAAGTACCTGGGTCTCGTCCTCGACAGCCGGTGGAACTTCACAGAGCATTTTCGTCGTTTGGCTCCCAAGTTGTAACGGACTGGGGTCGCGCTTCCCAGCCTTCGTATTGCTTTTAAACGTCTTTAAAAACAATACGATATCCTGTTCTTTGTAAAAATCATGGTCACAATGGGACTTAATTAATTCCATAATAACGACATGCTATTTAGGGAAAACATTACTTATCCTTATACGTACTTGTAATTATGTATATTTTGATTCGAATTATGTTCCATATTAATTGCTTTGAGCACACAAATGTTTTACCTATACTAATATTATAAAGAGGTAAAATTTGTAAGTTTGTAAGATTGCATGTAGGGGGGTAATCTTTGGAACCGCTAAATTCTTTCACTGATAGATAGCTACAATGTTACTGAGTGCTATAGGCTATAAAACATCACGCTACGATTAAATGGAGCCGAGCAGCGGGTGAAACCGCGCGAGAATAGCTAGTCATTATAATTGGGGAAAAATAAATGAAAAGAAATATACATAACAGAATTAATTTATTGATTTCTTTATCATTACATTATTTATTAATTTATTATCAATAATTCATAATAATACTTTAATTAAGATCACATTTTATTTTTGTACCCTTATCTCAATTCAACCCTGACAGCTGGAAGGGGCAAAAGGGGATGAATATTAAAGGTACTTCTAAAACTCTTAATTCGCAGTTTATTCAATCAATTTTGAGTGCAATTGCAATTAAAATAAGACACATAATAGTAACAAAGAACAATTAATTATTGCAAATATATTATTGCTTTTAAGAAGGTTCTTAAATCAAAGCATTTAAACTCAAAATTGTTTGAGTAAACTGCAAATGAAAATAGAACGAAAATTCGTTGAAATAGATATGACAAGTATAGCTATCCTTATTTTAGTCACAGTGGTGGAAAAGGACGACAGTACATAATTAGGACTTGAAACATAACCTTCCAGAAGTTTCGTTACGTTTATGTTTGATGTTAGCGTTATTTTTCTCCTACGCCTAGCCGGTGTTTGAATTACGAATTTTCATTCTACATTTTTTTAACACAAAGTCATGGTTTCAAAACTTCAATCCCTTTATTAAAAATATCGACTTTAGTTAGGTATAAATAGTTAAAGATTTTTAACAATCTCTGTATTCGGCATTTCACAGGCGATTGTTGATTCTAATTTGAAAATTGATTAATCTTATTAATTACCTAAACACATTTACGTGAAAAATTACGTATGTTGGCATTATTAATTTGTAAAAAAATACATTTCATTGAATTTTTCTTTTAAATATTCTTTCTCTTTTTCTCGTGTTAAGAGTGAAAAGGATATCGAATAGTGTATTTTTTAAAAGGAGAACAATAATATTAATGGCATTTTTACCGTATTTCGTACTATTACATATCAAAAAGGTATTTCAATACAAAAATAACTTTTAAAAAATATGTAACAATTATTTTATATAGATTTTCTGTCAAATGACTAAAAAGAGACGCACGATACTAGTTGTGACGTCATACCTGTTGAAGGGTATATGTGCGAAAGAGATAGAAATATACCCCCACAACATATAATTATAGATCTATTTTTATTTATAATATCGATTGTATTATAACTCTTGAGAGACATTTTCAATTAATTTATTACGTTATGTAACGGCTAACTTGGTGACATTTGGCGCGTTGTGTATCACGCAATGCTGCTCATGAATATAAGCCCTGTCGTGGTTTGAAACTATTCGAGTCATCTTGTAAAACGCCGTTAGCAGTTACTAACTTAATTAATATATAAGAAAATTATTTGTTTCATCATAACAATAAAATTTGAATACACTTGGTAAACCAAGCCTGAGGTATGTAGCTTCGATTTCTAGAACGGACAATGTATTTTATTTAAATACTTACTTAAATAACGGCATTGGAATGTAAATTGCCGGTTTTAGGTAATAATAGGTTCGCCTATTACAGCGTGATGTACTTCAAGTACCCTACATTTTTACCTAATTTTTGTGTTAAAACTCGTGTCTTGAAAAAATAACTGATAATGGCTCTACTAGTTTCAAGTCAAGACGAGGCTGTTGGGAGAAAATTCTTTAAAATTAGTATGAGAGTGCTTGTGACCACGACCTGTGCAACCAGGTCGAAACATCAAGCCTTTTAGGGTATTTCAAAAATTACTTTTCGCGTTAGTACCCGTTTAATACCATGATGTATGTTATAATGTCTGCAATGTGACTTTTTTAAAAAACTTGTGTGCAGTTTTGTTTTAAAAATATATGTGATTTGCGTAGTCGGTACCTACTTATTTATGTTGTTGGTTTTCGGGTCCCGTAACCAAATAGTGTTTTTGAGGGTTTCATTCAAAAGACTTTCTTGTTATTTACTAAAACTTTTTGTAATAAGATGGCACAGTCGTGGGCTTGATTCCCGCGGAACAATTCTTTGTGTGATCCACAAATTGTTGTTCCGGGTCTGGGTGTGATGTGAATGTTGAGTTGTATGTTTGTAAACACACCCAGGACACAGGAGAAAATCCTAATGCGGGGCAACGTTTTTTAAAACTCAAACTCAACTCAAAAGCATTTACTATACCTACAGGGGATAATGGTAGTGACTTTTTTTAAATCTCTCTTAAAATAAAGTTTTTAAACATCAATTTTAACAACACGAATTAATGTTAAAAAAAAGTAAATGTCTTTGAAATTGTTTTAAACCATTTTAAATAAGTAATGTTTTGATCGATAATTTTTCTTAATAAAAAAAAATATTAAGTTCCTACCTACTTAAATTGAAAAATTGTACGGGACCCGTCAAAGAGGATTTCACATTTTGACCAACTTTAAAAAAATCAATGTAATTGTAGGAAACAATGACAGAATAATAAATATAGTGAAGCGACCGCTAAGTTCCCAAGCATTATAGGAAAACCAATTTTCAAAAATTGTAGGAATGTGAACCGGTACCCGTGTTGTTCGGCCACTCCTGCGCATACGACGTTTGCGCTTGCGCCAATCAAAGTTCCGTTTCCTGGAAACAAAATAAAATAATTTAAAATTTCTTAAAGCTTCCAGACTCGTTATCTGATGGAATGCAATTGAGGAGTTATGAATGCATTGCTGGCCGTTTGAGGTTTAGGGTTTTGGAGATTTAGAAATTGGAGAGAGGAATGGTTGGACCTCAGGTAACCTCACTCTCACAGCGAAATACAACGCTGTGGTTGTGTCACGCTGGTTTTCTGTGAGGCCGTGGTACCACTCAGGTCAAGATTACCTATTCATGCTGGAGCATAATTCTCCCATACTAGTTAAAAGGTGTTTCAATAAGTTCTTTATATACCTCCAAGACAGGCTCCGAAGCTGAGAGCCCAGGCGAGAGGAGCGAGTGGTAGACCCAGCCCGGCTGGGTCAGCCAGCGCTGCTATCACCCTCACCATCATCGTGGACAGAGGAATGTTGTCCACGAACGCTGATGCTATGCCTGATACCTGGAAGTGGAATAATAATCAAAACAAGCTATTTTTACGAGGGATCTCTTGAACTTGTTAAGAAGAAGAGCTAACTAGAATACTGATCATTCCTACTAATAAAAAATATCTGCAACACCAAACTAAAGGGACTTAGCCTGCGGTTGGGTCTTTTTGGGGGTGAAAATCATCAAATGACTTCTCCAAACCTTACGCCCGAAGACTCTTACTGACTAAAAACCCCCCATTCCTTCTTCTCCTACAGGCTGAGGCCACGGGACCTTATTGCGCTTGACCCGCAGCCCCGAACTGGGACTGGAACTTTTTTTTTAGTACTTGCTATAAACTAGTGCTTGACTGCGATCCCACCTGATGGTAAGCAGTGATGCAATTGTTGATGGTGAGGCGCACTAGTTTATTAAGTAACTTACCCATAATACCAGCATAATTGCCACTGTAAGCCTGGATTCTTGACCAACTTGTAATATTACGTTTTCTGTCATGCTGCCTATCCAGGATATTAGACCGAGCTTCGATAGAGCCTGAAACGAAAGGATACAACATGTTATAAAAAAAACGGAAAGCCTTGCACGAGCTATCAATTAAACAATGATTAGTTTAGCCATTTTGGCTTAAGCAAAATAATTTAAGAGATTTAACTAAGTAAATTTCAATGGAAACTTCTAATTAATTTTCTTTTCACAAATATTTCACTTGATAATATTTTTTCAAAGACTCCTGTTGGTATATAGGTATGTATAAAAAGCGATCACGGTAAGTCGTTAACATAACTCACAACATTATCATTACTAAATTAACTAAAATTCGCGGGTTACTCACGTGTAAATGTTGAGAAAAGCTCTACTAGTTTCGAACCACAGAGGGGTTCTTCCTCATGGGTAGACTGCGCGACGTCGCCGCGTCCGCGCACGCTGCTCATAAGGAAGAACCCCTCTGTGGTTCGAAACTAGTAGAGCTTTTCTCAACATTTACACGTGAGTAACCCGCGAATTTTAGTTAATTTAGTATGTCTCACGATAGTTATTATAAAAACATTATCATTACTATAACAAGAGGCCTCCGGATTTTTAAAGCTGTGAGTGAAACTAGATTTAGTATCAGATTTTTATTGACCAAAACCAGCCCATTCCTTCTCCTGCTTCGAGCCGGGTCGGGTATTACATTTCCTTTGCGCGCAATTCATTTTTATTTCGTCGAACGTCAATTTGATTCTGCATCTAATTCTGCATTCAACTAATGGCTGGTCACAACACACTGGTCCAATGTATTGTATCTATATATATAAAAATGAATCGCAAAATATGTTGGTAAGCGCATAACTCAACAACGCCTGGACCAATTTTGCTAATTCTTTTTTTTGTTATATTCGTTATGTTTATGTGAAGGTTCTTATGAAAGAAAACTTTAGAAATGTAAAGGGGAATATCGGGAATGAACAATCATTCGGTGCTGTGGCCGTTTGTTAAAAAAACAAATGACTGACGGGTAGTCGGATACCTACCCTTGCAAAGCAGGGCGGTCCGCTAGTTGTATATATAGATTAAACCAATAATCTTTTTCCCAACAAACAATGCCTCTTTCTTACCTCCATAAGCACAAAGAGTGCAGCGAAGAACAATAACGTTGACCACTCGACCCTGGCCAGGATTGGCTCCAAGTCGGCTCTCTCAGCCAGGAGAAGCAGCAGCAAGGCTCCTAGAAGAGCCGTCCAGCCTAGAGAGAGCCGTTCTGCAAAGCAAAAAAATGTTGATAGAAGCTTATGCCGTTTGAGAAATGTTTTAATAGGGCGACGTCGCTATGGCGCGCACTCTGCTTATGAATAAGGGTCCTGTTGTGATTAGAAACTAATAGAGTTTTTCTCGTTTAATTAACGTGAGTAAGTCGTTATTTTTCAAAATACGTAGATATTATTTGTGGCCATAATTAATTATTTGGACGAATCGAAAGCTTTGGTTCTGTGTTTAGGTTAAGAATTTTTGTTATTACAAACCGCTTACTAACGGGAGTTTAGAAAAATTTGTTCGTAAAAAAAGCAACACTTCAGGAAGAGGTTTGAGTACCTAATATTCAGTTTTCGTAAATTCTCAATAGACAAGATTATAAATTTTTATTAGGTTGTTGTAGGAGATATAGGTACTTACGTAATTCAGGAATGGCGTGTAGAAAGAATACTATGATGACGAAGGAGACGCAGATAGTGGACTTCACTAACAACGGCTTGTCTCTTATTCGATACTGGAACAAAACATTCATGTCATAATTACTTATAGGTAATAAATAATCGATTAAAACATATTCGTTAAACGAATCCGATACCGGGAGCATAGTTCTTTCCCTGCTCCTCCCGCCATCCTCAATTTCCAAATCCCCTAACAAGAAACTCCTTTGGAATAACAAACTTTGGAAAAATAACACCAAAATTCTACCACCCATTAATACCAAGGTATTCAAGGAATTTTGGTGTGGTGATATCACCCTTGTTTTTGCGTCAAATACCATACTTGTTTCATGTAAATTATTGTTGTAATTTAAATGATTTCAAGATATACAATGACTAGGCATTGTCTTAAAGCATCGAGTGCGCATGTACATAGTATAACACAAAGTTTTTAATTAATAAAAAAAAGTTTTTAATCATTTTTTTTAAGTATAGCAAGAGCCCATTTTGGCCTGGGGCCCATAGACACCTGTAATACCAAATGAGTTACAAGTTTGTTGCCGGCTTTTTGTAGATTGGAGAATGGAGATGGGATGAGAAAATGATGCATACCTTCTGTTTCATTTGCGCTAGTGTGGAGCAGAACATGGGATCAGTTCTGGAGGCCCCGCCCCCGGCTTCACGGCGATTCAACGCCATGTTCAGCTTTTCCACCTGAAAACAAAAAAAAAGACTATTCTTACTACATTTCAAAGTAGCTAGCACGGGTTTTAACCGTGGTTTAAATCTTTGTAGTTTTTGGATGCTATTAGATATTTTTTTTTTAATTTATTTATTCACCATTTAAATAATCGAATACCTACGAATAACAAAAAAGAAATAGCAACCAAAACGCATTACTTACAGGTTTAGTTTTGTGCTAAGATAAGTTTCTCATTCTCGCTGTACAGGTCTTACAATGCAGGTAATTTCTGCACGACTAATACTTATGTGTTACAATTCTGTATTGTGTTTAAAAGAATGCGCCAACTAAAATTTGTTTCTCAATAATTGACAAGCATGCGTGAAGAAAGACAAAGACTCCGGCCTTTATATACATCATAACACGCTTAGAGTCAATAATTTCTTTCAACTGTTACATAAACAGGAACTTTTGAAACGGCAGCGTAGAAACAAAGTCTTTCATTAGGAGTATGCAGGATTTTTGTAATTTGAACACATATTGTGGCTGAACGTTTATTATTTTGTATGCATAAATAAATAAATTACCTTCTTTTCAAGCGCCCTCCGCACTATATCTTCATCCCGAGAGTAGGACGATAATGAAGCAGCAGCGCGTCTCCAAACTGCCAACTCCTGACGTAACTCTGAAATATCAGACGTACATACAGTTCAGTAAAATTCAATTTACCTTAAACACCACAAAAGCATTCAATCCCCGTTTTTTAGGCGATCCTAAGGTACTCGTTACTATGTCGTAAGGCTTTTTACCCGACTACGGCAAAGCAAAAGGAGGATTATGATTTTGACAGGCTATGTATGTATGTATGTTCATCTGTTCCCTCCTAACTTCTTAACTACTTATCAGAATTCGACATATAATCGTCGTATAATCGTTAGAAACGTCTTAATTGTTCGCTGGTTATTGGCTATATGATGTATCACAAAATCTAATGTGGCGCCCTCTAGCGGACAAAACAACCAGAGTAAAAAAATTAAGTTAAGGTAATTATACCATGTTTGGTATCATTTTAAAACGCTTTACTTGTACATTTAGAATATATATATTACTAGCATTTGCTTGTGACTTTGCTTGTATTCATAGGCTGATTGCAAATAATTGACATCTTTTCGTTCATACCTTTTACTACTTACTTATTTTGTTGATATTATGCGCCAGAAATACACTTTAACACCAAAACAGTACTAATAATAAAAAGTATAAAAACAAAAACCCAATTACGACAAAAACCGACGCTGAAAAAGTATAAAACAAAATTTTCAGAATACTGAAAGGCGTAGTCACACGTTACATTTACTTACCATACCTGCACGTGTGACTACGCCTTAAGTCTTATTTGTCTGTGATGGTCAGCAATTGGGTTACCGTCCACGGACAACAGAGGAACCAGATGTGCGTAAACGGCTTAAATTTTTGCGTTAAACACGACTACATGCATCAAGGCATATAAAACTAGGTTTTTCTCAACCAGTTTTTTGGTCCCCAATTGTTTAATATTTCCACATTATCAACGTTTGTACTAGTTCCGTCATGATGTGGGCACATGGCTTGTAAAACATTTTTTAACTTATAGACTATTTCTAGTAAAAGTTCTTCGGCGTTCCCTAAATGAAAAGTTATATGAAAACTTATTGGGGTATTTCAATATACATATAATTTACCTTTGTGCCAATTACTACTAACAAACACCCGAAAATACTTACAAAAATTTCGCGCTTATAATATTATTAACTAGCTACTCTCGCGCGGTTTCACCCGCTGCTCAGCTTGTTTTATAGCATATAGCACTCGGGAACATTGTAGCCATCTATCAGTGAAAGAATTTTGGCAATCCGACCAGCGGTTCCAAAGATTACCCCCTACATACAAACTTACAAATTTTACCTCTTTATAATATTAGTATAGAAGTATAGATTGAACTTGTACTTACCTAATATATCTCTAGGAACACTATGTCTCAATTTGTTAATGTCTTTAAACATATATCTAAGTTGGAAGTATGTCTGCACACATACTATTAGTATGCCTACCCCCATATGTATAGTGAACGTCGTGAAGTTGATATTCTGTAACAAAAACAATAACATATAATATCAAGTTAGTTTGTTAGTTTCTTCTTGTGAATCAATAAGTGTAGTGTTACTTTTTAAATATGACTAGAGTTGGGATAACTTATGACTAATATTTTGCAAATGATGACTAAATGTCAACAAATGATGTGACTAATATTGTACAAGTGATTACATACTATAATGCAAACATTTTGAATATAACATTGGACTACATAAATGATGAGTAATTTTTGACATCATATAAATAGTAATCAAAAAATATTTTTGGGTTCTTTTGAATAATAAGGAATACTTAATCACAATATGACTAACTGTAGGCATATTATGACTAAGTTTGGGAAAAATGTCTAATGTTGGACATAGGATAGAACTTACCGCTTTCACTATAGATGGGTGTGTGGCAATGATAACGTTGGGTGGGTCGCCCACAGGAGTGGCAGCGCCCCCTACATTGCTGAATATCACCATCGACATTAGAACAGGTACTGGATTCAGTTGCGTTACCTCGCAGAGCCTGAAAATTTAAAGTTAAAACAAAATTAAGGAATATGTGTAATTTTCATTGGTAATTTATATTTTTTTAAACTTTTACAATCTGTTTTACAATCTGTCCGATGTTTTATTGGCTTCCTTGTTAAATAGGGGGAGAAAAACAGCAGAGCAGGAGCATCAGCGCGTTCTCGCAGCTAGAAGAGTTTCTACTATACTATACTCTTCAGCTTTATAGTTAGCTTTTATAACGAAGTATAACCTCTTTATCACCATGATAAATGTGGCTTGTGCGTCTCTACGATAAATTAATGTAGAAGAGCCATGCTTGAGAGCCGTGGTACTTGCTAGAGAGCTGTGGTACCGCGGCCTCACAAAAGCTGCTGTGAAACAAGGAGTGCATGCAAGATGTGAATGAGGTTACCAGAGGCCCAATCCCTTCCCCTCCCCCAATTTCCAAAAGTCCGGCAACGCACTTGGAATTAGTCTGGTGTTGCAAGTGTCCACGGGCGGCGCCGGTTGCTTACCATCAGACAAGGCGTCTGCTCGTCTGCGGGCGTATCCCATTAAAAAACTGACTGATATACAAACCCCACCTTATGGTAACTGGTGTCATCAGTAGCACGGTTGTAACATTGTCCAGGAATGTCGAGAATATTGCCGTGAAGAAACATAGGACGTTGATCAGAGGCCATGTTCTGCCGCCTGTCACCTGGAACCAACATGATGATATAGGGGTTACACAATATTCTTACAAAATCTTTTGAAAGACCTTGGATATGAACTGGACGAATTGGAATTCTGGAGGAAAAAATAATAATTGGCTATGTTTTCAGCTATTGAAATTAGCCAAAACGATTTAGGTGGTACCACGGCCTTACAGAAAAAGGTATAAAACGGTGCTAGTATTATGTTTGATCTTGTAAGTGGGGTAACATCTGTAATTAATTAAGAGACCGAGGGTTCGGCGCCTTTTGCTAACCATCAGGTGATCCTAGTTTACCGATCTAATGAAAATATTTCCTGTACGTCAATGCGACGACGATATCGATACATTGAAGGATAACAGTTAAGATAGCATCAGTAGGTATGAATACACTCCGGCGCCACTCATTGAAACCCGTCTATGAGTGGCGTCGATGCCTTACCATCGGGTAATAAAAATATTAATATAAAAAATTGTTATTGATAAGTCAAATCAATTCAATATTTTCAGAACATCAATTAAAAAATTTAACAAGTGTTGGAGAGCCATGCTTCGGCACGAATGGGTCGGCTCGACCGGAGTGATACCACGGCCTCACAGAAAACCGGCGTGAAACAACCACAGCGTTGTGTTTCGCCGTGTGAGTGAGGTTACCGGAGGCCCAATCCTTCCCCTCCCCCAATCCCTCCTCAATCCCTAAATCTCCAAATCCCTAATCCCTAAAAGGTCGGCAACGCACTCGTAACTCCTCCGTTGCGGGTGTCCATGGGCGGCGCTGACTGCTTACCATCAGGTAATCCGTCTACTCGTTTGCCGATCTATCACATAAAAAAAAACATCGAGCTGCGCCTTCAAATCACACTTGGTTTTGGATTACACAAATGTATTTAAGTGTATAAATATATCCTCTAAGTGTCACTCACTTCAAAAGCCAAGACAGCGAGATAGTCGAACAGTCCAGTTTCAGCCAGGATAGCGACCAGCAACATCATGCTGAATAGCAGGAGCAGAGTTTCCACATCCAGCCAGGAAACCAGCTCAGGTAACGTGGGTCGAGCTCCACATAGAGCCAGAACTCCTACTGCTAAAGTCGAGGAAAGAAGAGCTGCAATTGTGCGGTTTACTATCTGAAAGTGCCAAAATTTTTGCTGTTATAATTCATAACTTCATATGGGACCGCCATTTTTTGGTGGTTGGTGACCTTTCATTCGTGATGATTAGAGACACAATTTAAGAAAAATAGGTCCGCGAACGCCAGCGTTCACTTGGGGTTTGATGAATTAATGGGCCGTCTCGGCCGAAGTGAAGCAACACTCACGTTGTGCCGTCTGAATGAAGTTACCGGAGACCCAATCCTTCTCCCTTATCCTCAATCCTTATATCCCCTACCCTTAAATCCCTAATACCCAATACACTTTGGTATTGCAAGTGTAGCCGATTACTTACCATCAGGTAATCCGTCTACCGCATCGTTATGCCATAAAAAAGTGGTGTTGCAAATGTTTATGGATAGCAGGTTCGTTCGCCGTAAATTCATAAACCGTAATGTTCGCATTGTTGAAAAGCTTCACAGAACGCTAAAGCTTACTGCAAATTTTTTTTAAGGTACAAGCCATCCGCAACCTCCCGAAACCGCTGCAACTCCTGTAAGCCAGGATCTACAGTAGAAACAACCATGAAAACACCGAAACATTGAAGTCCCAGGGACATGAATTGTCTTGGATCCCGCAAAGAAATAAATCTGAAGGTATTCTTTGAGAAGAGAAAAACGAAATAGTTTCTACTTGCCTCGGTAAATTTAATGCAGATGACTTAGGCCTTAAATGCAAAAATAAGACTGTACAACGGGGAGAAGCCCAGTCACCAAACACTACGGAAGATATGCTTACTACTAATAAGCTTACTGCTTATAATTTAATAGTACAAAAAATAGTACCTCAAAAATAATAAGAGTGTATAAAGTGATGAGAAGTATGGTAGCATATATAATGCCATCCTCCGGGTCGATCGGGTTCATCTGGTAACTGACGGTCAGTGGAACTATACTGCTACTCGTGGAACTCATGCGCAGAGTCAGTTTTGTACCTAGAATATCAAAAAAGAAGAAATTAGAATTAAATTTACCGAAAGACAATTGAAAGTAAATTGTAAGAGAACTTTAATTTTCGTCAATTCCTTATAAATACTTTTGTTTTATGAAAATTAAGCCTTTTGCGTCAGATATAGGGCAGAAAGTCCAAACCACTTATTATTCTGAAATTATCTATACTTATAATAAATCTGTAGAGAGGTCGATTCTGTACATCTATACTAATTTGTAAGTTTGTATGTAGGGGGTAATCTTTGGAACCGCTGGTCGGATTGCCAAAATTCTTTCACTGATGGATAGCTACAATGTTCCTGAGTGCTATATTTATTATATATTTTTGACCTAGGAAACTACCTAAATATTATTTGTCCAGGCTGGGCATAATAAAACGTACAAATTTTAAGTCTAGGAGAGCCAAGCTTCCATACGAATGGGTCGGGGCTCGATCGGAGTGATACCACGGCCTGACAGAAAACCGACGTGAAACAACCACATGGTTGTGTTTCGCCGTGTGAATGAGGTTACCGAAGGCCCAGAGCTTTTTTGTGTGGAATTCGAACCCGCGACAGCCAATCAGCAGCCACTTGCCCAGTTACAGATTACTGCAATTTCTGCAATCAAATTTCGACTCATATACGAAGTAATAAAGTTCACAATACGTACCGTTCATTCCAATCTGACCCCATCTAGTGATCTCTTCCGTTATAAGGCTGTGTGAGGATGTGTTCAGGTCATGATGTCCTCTCGTGAGTATGGGCGCCTGATCCTCAAGGATAAGTAACCTGGTCTCAGTGGAACTGGGGGAAAAGTCGAGGATATCTTCAGGCTGAAGGTGTATACTCCATTTAGTTGAATTCTGGAATTGAAAATTTTTTATGCCTTTATTTAAAATAGCTACTCCCACGCCGTTTCACTTGCTGCTTGGCTCCATTTAATCGTAGAGTGATGTTTTATAGCCTATAGCACTCAGGAACATTATAGCTACACTGATAGATATCAGTGAAAGAATTTTGGCAATCGGACCAGTGGTTCCAAAGATTACCCCCTACATACAAACTTGAACACTAAGCTCGGTTTACTGACCGTTTTCCATTTAGACAAGCGGAAAGTTTCAGCTGTGTGTTTCGCTGTGAGAGAGAGATATAATTCTTGCCCTCTTTTCATCCCTCGTCAATATCAAAATACCCAAAAATTCGGCAATGCATCTGCTACTTCTTTAGTACTGCAGGAGATTATTGGCACGTTGCCCACTAATTTTTAAAATCATTGCTTACCATCAGGTTACCGCTGATGATAACGATTATAATGAACGGTCATATGCTATAAACTAAATCAGCCATAATTTTTTATCCTTGAAAAAATTTCTTGATATGGCAGATATCAACAAACATTAAATTTGTTTGGACGTTAAGCAATAAAATTTAATTGCAATCAATTATCAGTTATGAGTCTAAATATTTATAACAATGATAACACTGTTGCATATAATGGATGTCCATGTGACGAGGTATCATCATGACTCATGGGCTGATGTTCACATGTAAACACCAGCTCATGTAGTGTAGAGGTCCAGTCAACAAGGATGTAGCGAGGTTGACTGTCCAGGCGACACACGTGCTTAGGTATCGTCATGAGCTAATGTTCACATGTAAACAGCAGCTCATGTAGTGTAGATGTCCAGTCAACAAGGATGTAGCGAGGTTGACTGTCCAGGCGACAAGAGTAAAAAGGATTTTGCTGGACATCTGCTCTACAGGGTTTTTTTTAGGTCACTTAACGCTTCTCCTTTAGTGACAATTGCATTGTTCTTATTCTGGGTGGATGTGGTCAGTCAAATCCAGTCGTATTTATCTGTCTACTTTAGTCCCTAATTTAACTGTCCCACGAGAAAAATGATCACACTTGGTTGACTACCTACTGTACTTTTTTAACTTACTTGTTCAAATTCAGCTGTTGTATTGTCACCGACAGATCTATGCAGCCAAAGATGAAGTGAGTTCACGCTGTCATTGGTAACAGGCTGGGCAAAGGGACCAGTCAATGTGATCGATACTTTAACACGATGCTCACTGGCTGGTAACACGTATTCTGAAAGAGAAAACATGTCTTATTAATTAATTGCTTCATTAGGTTTTCATACAATACTGCAATGAATATTTAGAATATATAGAATAAACCTTGTGTTGTGTGTGGAAAAAAATGTGGGGCTTAATATTCTCTCGTAGTACAGCGAATAATTAGTCAAACTATAAGGAAATACCGGAAAAGTAGTAATATAAATTACAAAAATCGATAAAGAAGCAAAAAATTGGCTCTAGGATTATTGAAAACTAGCGGTTTCACCCGCTGCTCAGCTCCATTTGATCGTAGCGTGATATTTTATAGCCTATTGCACTCAGAAACATTATAGTTATCTATCAGTGAAATTTTGTCAATCTGACCAGCGGTTCCAAAGATAACCCCCTTCATACAAACTTATAAATTTTACCTCTTTATAATATTAGTATAGGTTAACGATTCACTCAAGTGAGTTAACTGAAAAAAGCTCTACTAGTTTCAAGTCACAACGGGACTCTTATTCGTGAAATCGTGATCAGCATGTGCGTCGCAATGACGTCGCGCAGCCGACTGACTGTGCAAGTTGTTTTTTATGCTATGGGTCACCAAACGAGCAAACGGAATACCTGATGGTAAGCAATCAGCACCGCCCATGGACACTCGCAACACCAAAGGAGTTAGAAGTGCGTTGCCGGCCTTTTAGGAATAAGGGTTTTGTATATTTAAGGATTGCGGTGAGAAGGGATGGGGGAGGGGTTTTGGGTCTCCGGTAAACTCACTCACACGGCGGAACACAACGCTCTGGTCGTTTCAGGCCTGTTTTCTATATGGCCGTAGGATTACTCGGGTCGAGCCGGGCCGTTCGTGTCGAAGCTTGGCTCTCCCACAATTGTGACTAGAAGTTATGTAGGTTTTCTCAGTAAATTCAGGGGAGTATGTCGTTATTTTTTTGTTTTCTTGTATATCAACTATTCACTGCTGGACATTTTTTTGCATCCAAAAAATTTGAAATATTCTAGAAACTAAACATATTATGCTTACAAACAAATTGAGTTCATCATCATCATCATCAGTCTATAAGTACCCAATGCTGTGCAAAGACCTCTTCTCATACGGAGAAGGTTAGAGCATTCATCACCACGCTTGCTCAATGCGGGAGGGCGATTTCAAACTTATAATTAGTAATTATAAGTCCAGGTTTCCTCAACATTTTTACCTTCACCGTATGTCAGTGGTGTCTAAATAATCATAGAAAGTACATATAACTTGGAAAAAGTCACATTGGTACTTGCCAGGTTTCGAACCCGCACCCGCATGCATGAGAAGCGGGCTCCTTAACCTCCGGGCCACCACGACATTAATTACACACCCCGAATTGAGTTCAACTTAATTAATTTCATTTCATTGTTTTTCAGATATTGAATCACGGAACAATCTTTGGCTGATCAAAACCAATCAATGGATGTTTTACCTTTAATCTCGCCACCTTGCACAGCAGTATGTAGGACCACGTCTGACCGTTCCATGTTCATCAATAAGGACACAGTGAGGAGCACCCAGCAGGAGATCAGGGCACAAAGCTTCACTGTCCGCAGTGCTTGGTCTAGCTGTGAATAAATAACTGCAGTGAGATTTTGCACCTACACTATTTATGAAAGAGAGGGACAAAGAGCTTCACGTAAATTCTATAAAGTTTGTTTGATTTTGAAGTGTGAAGTGAGCGTCAAAATGGCGGGGAAATTACATTTTAGAATGCCACTTTTAACTTCATATACTTTATCTATCAAAATGTTGCGGTCAATTTAGTTCAACTCGCAAGTGTAGCGCTAGTGTACCTACTACTACTCACAGCGGGTTCAGCAGTGTGATTCTGTAAGACTTCATTCTAAATTTCGAATCTGAATCCGCCGTGAGTAGTAGTACACTAGCGCTACACTTGCGAGTTGAAGTAAATTGACAGCAACATTTTGATAGATAAAGTATGAAATGACGTTAAAAGTGACATTCTAAAATTTAATTTCCCCGTCACTTCGACGCTCACTTCGCACTAAACACGATTCAAAATCAAACAAATTTTATAGAATCGACGTGCAGATTCGAAGTTTAGAATGAAATTTTACAGAATCACACTGACAGGTAGCAATCAGTGTTGGGCTGGGCACGATGTTCAAATTTACATACTGTATAAACAATGTCAAAGGAGTTGCAAATGAGTTATCTACCTGTGAAAGAGAAATAATATATTTACATCTTTTTAAAATGTACAAAATCGAAACCAATCAGGTAAAACGTTAATTCTACCGTATTTTTTGGTAAAATAGCACAATTGCGCATTGCGATAAGACCGCCATATTGTACATTATATCTTAAGCGTAGGTAATAATTTTATTATGGTTTACAATAAAGAGTAAATAAATAATACTTAAATTGCAACTGCCGAAATGGTGGGTGTGGAACTGCAGCCACTTTGAACGGAAGTTCCAATATGCAGCATGGGTGACTTAAAAATATGAGGCAGTGAAATAAATACCATTACGTAAGTAGCCAGGTTGAATTGTTACATTTGAAGATAGCATCAAAAATTGTTCGTTAAGTGTCAAATAGTAATTATGAAAGCCATACTGACCCGTTTCTTCTTTACTGATTTCAATTTCTTTTCATCCTTAGTTTGCATAGGATCCATTAATCTGTTAAAAGAAAAATATCGTTTTACTCCAATTATCCTATTGAGTAGTTTGGTTAATAAAAAATATTAAGCTCAAAAGAATCCTAACAACTCTTAGGACTTAGAAGTTGGTTTGCTGCTTTGCATCCGCACTGAAATTCTGAAGTAAAGTTTTCATCGCTACCATTTCCACGAATCCAAAATAATGATGACAAAATTCAATATTTTAGCTAAATCTACCTACATTTACAGCACCAGGTGATAAATATTGCATATCGATTATTGGAAAGAGACATTTTTTGTGATAATACGATTCATGAACCACGTTCATGATTTTAGAGCTGTTCTCGACAGGAGAAGACATGGGGTGATTTGTTGTCAGTAAGAGTCTGACACTCTCTGGCCACACCCTGAGCGAGAGAAACATTTGATGATTTTCCTCTCACAAAAAAGGACAGAACTTGTCAAGTTTCAGGGGTTCATAGTCATGAGCAATATACGCAGTGACTAGGCCAATTGTCTCTTTCAAAAAAGTCAACGTGCTAAATGTATCACCGAGTACTGTAAGGCTCTTAAAATTATTGGCCCTTGTACTTCAATATTTTCTGTCATTTCTGTCAACTGACCTATTAGCAGCATCTTTAAGAGGTTCCGCGTCTTCCTTCTTCGTGTCCACCTCATGTTTCTTATCAAATATTGTCTTATCACCTTCTGTAGGTTCCTCCGATTCTATTTTACCTGAAATCGTATTTACAGTGTTTTTATAATAACTATCGTGAGACATACTAAATTAACTAAAAATCGCGGGTTACTCACGTCTATATTGAGAAAAGCTCTACTAGTTTTTACCTACTAGTAGACTGCGCGACGTTGCCGCGTACGCGCAAGCTGCTCATGAGGAAGAACCCCTCTGTAGTTCGAAACTAGTAGAGGTTTTCTCAATATAGACGTGAGTAACCCGCAATTTTTAGTTAATTTCGTATTTACAGTTTTAAGTTTTTGATTTATTACATGTTACCTAGCGATCAGGTGTCAAAACTCAGGTAGATCATCACTATCATCAGCCAGAAGACGTCCACTACTGGACAAAGGACTACCCTAAGTCCGCCACTCGCATCCATTGACTCCTTGCGAGGATGACCTATGTAGGTATATCATAACAGCCATAAGGCCGTCAGTCTTTCGTGTGATGTGGTTTACCCATAACTACTTCAACGTCTGCTTAGATTATTAAAAAGTCTCGATTCTGATCACATGATAAGTTTAAAATACAAATGCCACAAGCAGTGGCTAGTAAGCCATCAAGTCATCATCTTTCTATCGTGTGGGTTTAGTTTTAGTTGGAAAAGCCATGCTTAGCCACGGCTGGGATCGGCTAGACCGGAGTGATACCATAGCCTCAAAGAAATCTAGCATGTTTTGCCGTGTAAGTGAAGCATCATTTAAAAGATATTTTGAATACGCTTGTGATTCTTCTGGTGTATCGGAGTCTCTAAGAGCGGCGTTGATTGCTTACCATCAGCTAAACAAGCTTTTTTTGCCCTATATTTTATGAAAAAAATTGAATAGCTGAAATGGCAAGAAGATTTTAAACCGCCAGATTGTTTGAATTAATCTAAAGATTAAAATATGTTATAGGATTGTCAGAATTAATCGTTACTTCAGCATCAAAACATTAAGACCTTAATGAGTAGCTAGGTACGTTTTAATAGCATGACGTCATAATATGTTATTGAATACTCAAACGTTATGATGTAGGTATTAAATTATAATGAGAATCATTCTAATTTTAGAATACCTAAGAGTTGAATGATAGGAAAGAACCGAGATTATTGCGGACACACGGATTTTTTGTTTAAATCCAATTTCTTGGACAAAACAAAGTATTCTTAATGTTATTAAATACTAGTTGCCAGTCGTCAACGATACGACCTTCAAACATCCAACAAAAGAACGTACTACTCCTTGAAATGTCGATAACGCATATACCTAACGCATAACCAGAGGACACAACCTCTGGTTCTACCGGTGTCAATCAAGCGATCAAGATGCGTATAAAAAAATTGGCAAAACTGATTTAATTTTATTTTTTATGGAACAGATCGCAAACGACTTTGACTGCATGGTTGGCGCGGTGGCTGGGCAACTGGCTGCCGCACAACGTGTCGCGGGTTCGATTCCGCACGAAACAACTCTTTGTGTGATCCACAGATTTTTGTTCCGGGTCTGGGTGTGATGTGAAATTGTATGTTTGTAAACGCACCCACGACACAGGAGAAAATCCTAGTGTGGGGCAAAGTTTTCAAGAAAAAAAATCCGATTACACGGATCACCTAACAGTGCACCACCACAAGAGTCGCAGGCGCGTTGCCGGACTTTTAAGAAGGAGTACGCTCGTTTCTCGAAGGTTTGTGAGCGTAAGCAATCGACGCCAAGCATTGCGGATGGAGTACGGAATGAATTTAGGGCGCGGCTAAGTATGAGTCCGACTGGATTTGGAGTGGATGGACTACGCTATCAGGATCCGGTAACTTGATTCACGGGACGAAGTAGAATACAGTTGTTTAAAGCTGGATCACTGCGTAGGATGTTATGTTAGTTTAAAAATGTCTAACTTCTATTAAGGGGAGCCTCTTTGCTTGGACATGATACTGCGGTGCAAATGCTAGTCGTAAGGCGAAAACTTCATATGTTCAGTGGAAGTTTTCTGGCTGATACGATGAAAAAACAAACAAAGAAGACCAACTCACCATGCTGTTGCTCATACCGCTGCTTGAAGGGCGCCAGTAGGGGGTCAAACTTGATTTCGTCAGGCAGGTCCACCCATATATCGACACTCCCCGGTGTTAGGTCACTACACGATATCACAGAATAAACACTATTGTTCAAATTCACATCTTTCTTGCGTCCCAGTTCTCTTAATCTTTGCATCAAGTCCGCCATTATTTTGTCAGGACATAGTTTTTTGCACTTACAACTTTATTTATATTTAGTTGAGTGTTGTTTTTGTTTGTCACTATTGGCTGATGGTATTTTGTTATAGGTTTCTAGGGGTTTTAAAGATAGTTATCGTCATGAGCACATGAATTCATATGTAAACAGCAGCTCGTGTAGTGTAAATGTCCAGTCAACAAGGATGTAGCGAGGTTGACTGTCCAGGCGACACACGTACTTAGGTATCGTCATGAGCTAATGTTCACATGTAAACAGCAGCTCGTGTAGTGTAAATGTCCAGTCAACAAGGATGTAGCGAGGTTGACTGTCCAGGCGACACACGTACTTAGGTATCGTCATGAGCTAATGTTCACATGTAAACAGCAGCTCGTGTAGTGTAAATGTCCAGTCAACAAGGATGTAGCGAGGTTGACTGTCCAGGCGACACACGTACTTAGGTATCGTCATGAGCTAATGTTCACATGTAAACAGCAGCTCATGTAGTGTAGATGTCCAGTCAACAAGGATGTAGCGAGGTTGACTGTCCAGGCGACACACGTACTTAGGTATCGTCATGAGCTAATGTTCACATGTAAACAGCAGCTCATGTAGTGTAGATGTCCAGTCAACAAGGATGTAGCGAGGTTGACTGTCCAGGCGACACACGTACTTAGGTATCGTCATGAGCTAATGTTCACATGTAAACAGCAGCTCATGTAGTGTAGATGTCCAGTCAACAAGGATGTAGCGAGGTTGATTGTCCAGGACACAGGTAAAGAAACTAATAAAAATCAACACTATACTTCTTTTTCTAAAGTTCATAACAGAATAACAAAAAAACTATCAAACGTCATGGAAAATTAGACTTTATATGTATGTAATAAATAATGTATTTATATAAATGGAATTTTCCATGAATATTGTTTAGTAAAGTTTGATTTAAGTTGTCGGAAGTGGCACAAGCTTTTGATCCGTGGAAATAATGTATGCACAAGCACAAATCGATTTTATCAAATTGATAAGAGATTCGATAAGTAGTGTTAAGGGATTTTATCTTATCACACACCTACTGTCGTCGATATCTGATAAACATACAAACAGACAGTCTCATTGGTCAAGTATGTAGTTGCAATGGAGTAGCCTCCTAGGTGATTTTTTTTCGACTTTACAATATCAGGAGTAACTTAAACATTTCGGAGAGCCATGCTTCATTCTTCAGTCATGGTATCATACCGTGGCCTTACAGAAAACCGGCGTGAAATAACCACAGCTTTGTGTTTCGCTGTGTTAGTGAGATTACCGTAGACTCAATCCTTCCCATCACTTTCCCTAAATCTCCGATACCCTAATACCCAACTGACTGGCAACGTACCTGTAACTCCTTTAATATTACGGGTGTCCATGGGCGGCGCAGATTGCTTACCATCAGGTGATGCGTCTGCTCGTTTGCCGCCAAATTTCGTGAGAAAATACAAAGTCAAAGTGAAAGTCAAAAGTCAAAACAATTTGTTTCAATTAGACTATTGTAGGCACTTTTGAACGCCAAACAAAGATATAAATATACTTAAATATTGTCTGTTGGTCAGTCCTCTTAAACACGGTAAGGCTCCAAAGCTCAAATGTTCTAAGATTTGTTATTAAAACCTGCTTAGTACCCTTCCCATACCTTATATTCATTAGACCGTAAAGATAAGCACTCGTTCTAAATAATCATGATTGTAAACCTTATATAGTTTAACTGCCAAGATTTGTATAGCAACCGTTTAGTAGAAGCTAACTTTTGGTCTAACATTTTGTAACCAAACATCACGGAAACTAATGAACTGATTTTAATGAAACTCGTACGTGATATAGGTATCGTGGTCTTAAAATTAATAGAGTATTTTTTTATTGAAACATAAAATTATCTTTCTCTGTATCCCCAAAAATATATTATTTTCGAAAACCGAGTACATGGTGATTTAAGTGCGGAAGAGCCATACTTCGGCCCAATCGGAGTGATACCACGGCCTCACAGAAAATACTACCAGAGCGTATGACCTAATTATAATATTCGAGGCAGGACGAAGTTTGCTGGGACAGCTAGTAGGTATGTAAACCTTAAATAAGTAACCTCAATTAAATACTAGTTTTTGTTTTTTTTTGTCAGGGGAAAGTCATCAAATGACTTCTCCCGGCCAGGGTAAGGTTCTCTAGTTTTGGGCCGAGATTACAGTGCCATTTTGGGCTTGCCCCGCAACCCCGGCTGAACATCAGCTCTGTAGGGCCCCGTCTGTGGTGGTCCATTGGGTCTTTGAGGAGCCCAGGGAACGCTACGCGCTGTACGCTCGAGTAAATACTAATATAGCTATTGCCGCGCGGTTTCACTCGCTGCTCAGATCTTTTTGATCGTAGGGTGACGTTCTTAGCGTTTAGCACTCAGGAACATTGTAGCTATTCATCAGTGAAATCAACCTCTTTCGTTGAGTATATCTCACAATCACTAGCCTAACACTCTCATCTACTGGCCCAAGAAAAATAAAATCAACGTTTAAAATTTTAATTAAAATAACTAATAAACTTGACCGTGAACTTCTAACTAAAATCAGCATAAACTTAATGAAGCAGTTTATAAAAATAATGGCCGATATTTATGTTAATTAATTCGGAATACAATATGGGGCTTCATTAGCATAGAAATGTGTGTTAAATGCTGTGTAGTGACGGCAAAATAGAATACAATAGATACCACCTGACTGCACGGTTGGCGCAGTGGCTGAGCAACTGTCTTCTGTGTAACGTAGCGCGGGTTCGATTCCCGCACGGAACAACACTTCGTGAGATACATAATTGTTGTTTTGGGTCTGAGTTGCTTGTATAGGTGAATTTGTATGTTATACCTACGACACAGGAGAAAATCGTAGTGCGAGGCAAGGTTTTCTTAAATAGTATGATTAGAAATCATAATTCCTGATGCTTTCCTTCACCGTATGTCAGTGGTGTCTAAGTAATCATAGAAAGTACATGTAACTCGGAAAAAGTCACATTGGTACTTGCCAGGTTTCGGACCCTTAACCTTCATGTCTGAGAAGCGGGCGCCTCAACATCTGGGCCATCACGACAATTAAAATAATATTTTGGATTTTGTAGATGAAGTTCATAGGCCAGCTGTGGACTGACGCGGATTGTCGATTTATAGGGAAACTCCGCTACACATTATTTCGATAAGAAACCGGCACTCTGTTATCTTTTACACAATAAAAACGCCTAAACTAAAAATTCACTCGCGATAATAATACAATTATTATTTATATTAAAACGAAATAACCGTAAAAGATATTATTATTACGGTTAAATGGTAATTTCTATTGCGAACCGTGTTAAAATTTACATATTTATTCACGTGACTACCTATTATTATATTGAATTAATAGTTCACTTTTATAAATTTTTACACAGGAACTCACATTATCACAATAAAAAATAATATTTAAAATTAAACACTCACAAAATATTTAAAATAATACTAACAATAACGTAAATAAAGTAAAAAAGAATTATTAAAATAAAATAATATCGCCGTCGACAGGTTCAACAACCTCGGCGTACCGGTGTGGACTGGTAGAAACCGCTTCGAACCGGTTCATGCATTACGTCATCAAGTTTCTAGACTCCATTTTGTGTCTGTTGTAGTTTTTTAGACTTAAAATAGGCGCTGTTTATTACTAATGGAAACTTTTCGTGAATAGTGTTAAATCACGCACTTGTAATTTCAGAAAGTGTAAGCTTGAATAGTGTTTATGTAGGTAGGTACCTACTATCTTTTGAACCTAACTTCGTCCGCGTAGAATACAAACTTTATGCAGACTTATTGTAAAATTTTTCGAATAAAAAATTACATTGTACGCGTTTGAAAGAGAAAAAACTGTAATATATAAATAAAATAAAATATTTAAAAAAACTGCCATTACAGCATTTACAGCAGATAGCCAAGCAGATACCCAAGTTTTTACAAGAAATATTTTTTTTTTTTTAATAACGTTGCCCCACATTTGGATTTTCTCCTGTATCGTGGGTGCGGTTACAAACATACAATTTCACATACAAATGACACCCAGACCCGGAACAACAATTTGTGGATCACACAAAGAGTTGTTCCGTGCGGGAATCGAACCCGCGACACGTTGTACGGCAGCCAGTTTCCCAGCCACCGCACAAACAGTGCAGTCGAAACAAATAATCTATACTTATCCAATTAATTTAGTTTTTGTAAAAATCCTTAACACGTGTATGTATATTTCATGCAAATCTAAGAAACTGCCGGGTTAGTATGAAACATTGTTTTCACACCTAACATTAGAATTCTTGAGGAAGGTTATAAAAATATTTGCAGCATTTGTCCGATCTAAGAAATGCTGAAACAAAATTTTCTGCAAATCGATGCTAATTCCAGAGATTAGCATGTACTACTACACTAACAAATAAACAAAATCTTTAGCTTTATTATAAAAGGTCCATTGGTAAATTTAAAGTATGCCAAAATTTTATATCATCACTACATAGTATAAAACAAAGGCGCTTTCTTTGTCCCTATATCTCTATGTATGCTTAAATCTTTAAAACTAAGCAACTTATTGTGATGCATTTTTTTAATAGATAGAATTTTTTAAGAGGAATGTTTGCGTGTATGATTACAATAATTAAATAGTGGAAAAATTTAGTCTCAGCATTAGCATTGCACTCGTGCGACGCCGACGCGGGTCGCTAGTTTATTATAAGCGTGGTGGCTTGGGCGGTTGTTCACACATCTTTCATCCCAATTTCCAACTCTTTTTTCGATGGATCATTTCATCGAAAGCCTTCTCTTCTTTGTAAACGTACTCACGACATACGAGAAAATTCTAGTATAAGGCAACGTTTAAAAAGAAAAAAATAAAAGGAGTGCCTAATATGGTCCTTGGATACTTCTTTAGCGCACGTCGTCATCATCACATCCAAAAGTTACTCATACATTGACCCCCCCCTCCATCCCTCTTTGTCATTTTTCTCACTATCTCCCCCATTAGAGAGTAAGTAACATTAGAATACAAAACTAATTACAAAATATGCAGATAAGTTACTGATAATTTAACTG